AAGAGTGTGAAGTTAGTATTTTAATGATTCCCAGAGGAACAAGATCTGGAGTTAATGCGATGCTGAGCAGTTTCTGTTCTCCTCAAAGGAATATTTAATGTGCCACCTTCTGATTTTTGTTTTTTTTTGTTTCAGAGAAATTCTTTGTAGCAGGGATTAACCTTACTGAAAACTTAAGGTATATTCTCTTACACCCATTTGGATCATTGAAGAAAATGACACTCCGGAGTCTTCCATGCCTGAAAATCTGGATAAAGCAGCAGTATCCGGGATCAAAAAAAGAATGTATTAACATCATTGCTGGAGACTTTATAGGAAATGATGATTTTGTCAAAGATGTGATAGAACTTAACACAAAAATTAATCTGCCATTGCACTGTCAAAGTAAAGGGGTGGAACAAACAGTATTTCACTCTCAGCTTCTTCATCTGTGAAAAGCAGAAGAGGCTTTGTCTGCAGTTAACATGCCCTGGTTTAAGCACCCTGGATCCCATAGAGGTCCAGTTAACTTAAACCAGGGATGTTTTAAAGACTCAGGGAGAAAAGTGCTTTCAACATCATCAGGTTTTCAAGGCCCTTTCACAGAAAAGGGAACAGGCAGACCTCGCCAAAGTCTCTAGAGAACTACGGTACAGGTATGATTTACTTGGAGGTGCTTAGATTCTGTAGCAGTTGACAATACTGAAAGTCCAAAGAACTTAATCTTATTTTGCATATGAGGAAGAAGGAGAAATATGTCAGTAGCTGCACAAATTATTTTGTGATAAGATTTTTATCTATCTTATAATTGTAAAGATATTCTGCACTACTTGCAACCCCAATTCTTAGTCTTTTAGATCAGAGTGAAACCAAGTTGTCTGTTTTCATAGTTTGTGTTAAATAAAAGGAACAGTTTAAAAATATTTTTGATATATCAAAGCTACTGTATAAACAATCCTATTTGATGTGATTTTTATATATACATCATATCATTAACACTGGAGATCTGGAAGTGGCTGTACTGTTGTGTACTGAATATCAGTTGTGAGCCCCTTTACCAACAGGGTAGTCACAACATTCTTTACGATTTGTAAGAGGGTTTTTATGTGTATTTGAACACTTATTCTTTTTATCACTCATGCGAGTTCTGCAGTGATAAAGATACCAAAACTAAGCCTCTAGACATTTTTGTCTGTGGTAATGAAATATGTTTTATTAGGTGTTCCCAAAATACGCCTTACACTGAAAATAAACATGTGTGAAACAAATGCCTTCTCTAAACTTGGACTGCTCTAGAAATACAGACTCTTGGCTTCTGTTGTGCTCATTTGGGGTTTCACACCTAGTCTTTAACTATTTTAGTAGCACTGTAATTATTTTTGCTCTCAATAAGTAGGTTTTGCTTATGTAAAAACTAAGGCTTTTATGCTGTTTGCCACTGCATATTAATCCTACTTTTCTAATTTTTAAAATGAACTGTGCAATAACAGCTGATCACGAAGCTAAGAGAAATGGCAAGCATCAGGACTAAACCAAAACCAGGCATTGTATAAAGTTCACTATGCAGCTTCATCAATATACCTCACTTTTTAGATGCACTTTATATGCAAAAGCTGAGTTCAGATGTCTGGTGAGATGTTCACATTTGCAGTAGGTGTCTTCAGAAGTTTGAAAGCAACTGCTACTTGACATCAGATCAGAGTCACCCTAGACTTCTCAGCATGAAAGGCTAAGATACTACCTCCTTGTGCAATCTCTTGCAATTGCAGAATATCTAGGAGTAAAAACATAAACATTCCATTTATAAAGATGACTTTCTAAATGCTGTTTTATAGGGCTTTTTATCCTTGTTCTTACCTTTATGTACTTTACAGGGAATAGTCATTCAGTTTTGATTTTTTTGAGTCACTAAATGCATTAAGTGTTACATTACACACACTAAGTGTTTTTCTGCCTCTCTTTTGTAACCTCAAGTGGCTTGTTATTCTATCTAATAAAAGTTCATCTCTTTGTGTAGTATGGACTGAAATAGTTTTGCTTCTCCCTTCTGTGATCCCAACTATCTTATTGGTTCCCAGTAGTAATTAATTCATAACTCAGGTAATGGATCAGGTTTTTGGTTTTGGTTTTTTTTTGGGGGAAAGAATTTCACACACAAACCACAGTTTGCTGTACCTTAAATGTTTTCTCTTTAAGAACTGACACAGAAGTAGGTACTGTGAATAAACTACTCTAGGCAAGAAAACTGTAGGGGTAAAAGGTGTTCACAGCTAACTTTATTAATTAAACATACAAATCTATGGTTTTTTGCTTCACTGCAGTAAGACAGGGCAGTTACTTAAATATCTATTCAAGCAGAATGCATGACCATATCTATATTATTTACATATAGCAAACATTTTGTTCAGTAACTTTCATTTTCCAAGGACCATATGAGACACTTTATAATAAATATTTTATTCTGAAAAATGGGGTAAAAAGCTTTATTTATATAGGACACTTGGTACTTTTCTGAAGGTTAATTCAGATGCCATCCAGTGACTTCCATGTGTTGGAACTCCACAGCTTACAGCCACCAACATTAAAATTGCGGTGATGTCCTTGCACCAAGTAAGAGCTCAAAGCTCTTACTGTTTCCAAACAGAAGTTTTCTGAAACAGTGGCTATTTTTAAAATGCCTCAAAAACATCAACTGGGGAGAAATAGACTCTTCAACACCCAGTCTAACAGGTCATTAATTAACTTCATTTCACATCTTAATGAGATCAGTTTCTCCTCCTACAAAAGGATGCAGTTTCACGGCATTAAAATCTTACTGTTAGGAAAGAGGTGTCTGTATCTGCCAAAAGCAGAACTGCCGATTATCACCTTCACCCTGGCTGTGCCATCTTCAGGCATGACTTCTACTTCCTGAACTGTTGCTTCTTTATAGAGCCAACTGTAGAAGTAAAAGCATATTAGCATCTTAAAGGTATGACACACTGCATAAAATATGATCTTTGTTTTAGGTCAACATGTTGCAAGTAATTCAATGCTTTAAAAGATGAAGTGCTTCACTTTTCATTTGCTACTTGCTGTTTGGAAATAGGATACAGTGTTTTCATAAATCTTTCATATTTGTGTTTTTACCAGAAATCTGGCTCCAGGACCAGTTGTATGGTTTTTCAGGAAGTACGTTTTATTGTACTAACACACAGAACTCTTTCAGGACACTTTCAGAAGCAGACTCCAGGGTATCTAATGGAGATACTTCTCAACAGGTCAGAAAACTTTAATATTTATCCCTGTAATTCTTAACACAGATTAAAATCAGTATGATATGATTCAGAAATTAAGACATGCAAGACTAAGAGTTTCATATTTCTCCAAGTCCTTCTTTCTTACAATTCAAAATTATTTACCTTAGCTGAGGTCCCTGTAAGTTGACATTAACTGTCAGAATCTTCTTCCCTGTTACCGTCAAAATTTTTTTCTCTATTTCTTCTTTCAGCTCTTCTAAACCATGTCCATGTAGAGCAGAAATGGCTAAAGCATTTTCCTCAGTGGGTTTATACCTGAAAGGTAACGATTGCTCATGAAGATAAGGCTATGAAAATATTCCAAGCATGGACAATTTAACTGTGTTGCTTTATACTGGCACCTTCCTACAGAGGCTGCTTCTTGTATGACTCAAGTGATTCTTTTGTAATTAAAAGATAATTATTTTTAAGACCATAGTTACATGTGTAAAAGATTGAGAAACACTATTGAATGTATTCAGAAGTGGGGGAGCTCTTTTCTAGACTAAGAATTATAAAGCTTCCATAACATAAGAAATGTTTAAGTACACTTAGC